GCAGAATTGTTCGGCTGGTTCTGTTTCGATTGTCTAAACGAAGTCCTTGGGTATACGGTATCAACCGAAGCTGTGGCAGGAAACGTTCCATGGCTGGGCATACGCAATACGTACCCTAGGCAGCGAAGCTTAGTAATCTGAATTCGGTGTGCTAGCAGGATTATACCTGATAGACTCCCAAACACACGACGGCTTACCTCCACGTTACTAACCCGTTTGCTCCATCCAACGTGGGCTGAACTGCGTAAACACCGATAATCAAAAACTTATAGTCGACAGATATCTTCTACTCGCAAATTCAAGGTCTTACAATCATAAAGCAGAACTGAACGAACGGTGGCACAATGTACACGACCTTTCAATTTCAGTGGAACGTTGGGTCTACGCCAAAGGTGTTTCAATCCTGCGTACGCTGCTCGAGCCTTGGAAATGCGGGCGGTTATCTCTTTTGCTGCGGTACCGTCATTAGTGACACAACTACCTAAGTAGGAAAAATAATCCACCACTAAATCCTGAGCATTTAGTTTCAGAGCGGGAGTAGAGGAAACCTAGTCCTGCAGCATCAGTTTGCACTTTGAAGGTGCACAACACATACCGAATGTGGCTACTGCACTTGTCAATCTATCAAGTGCGCTTTGCGCGTCCTCCATACATTCGAACAGACAGACGATGTCATTAACGTACTCTAAATCGCACAGCTTTTCTACAGCTGTCCATTCAACACCTACTTTTTGGAGTCCCCTTGGTGCACTCTCCAGTATTTCGTCTACGACAAAATTGAACGGGAATGGCGAAAGAGGGCACGCTTGACGTACGCCGCTGCTGGTGACGAACAGCAGTTCGTTGTAGACCCTTACACGACCGGAGGTGTGAGTACAGTGACTTCAGTAGGTTAACGTATTTCTGGGGCATTCCTTTTCGAAGAAGAGAGCTCATCGGAGCTTCGCGGTCAACTAAGTCGGAGGCTCCTTTCAGGTCATTGGCCGACGGTGGGTATGACGCAACTCAAGGATCTGACGCGACGTAAAAATCTGATCAACACATCTACGGCCAGGCCGGAATCCGACTTGCTGTTCACGAATGTTGGTCTCTCTTAAAGGCGTCAGACGACGAAGTATAACCGAAGCCAACACTTTGGTGACTTTCGAGATCAAACTTATCCCGCGGTGGTTTTCGCAATCATTGCGGGATCCTTTCTTGAAAATGGGAGCGATCAGTGATTCGCCCCAAGATGATGGAATGTGCTCTCGCATCCAAATGTTGCGCAGTATGGTAGTAATAGAGGTTACGAGGTTATCACCTCCGATCTTGAAGAGAGTGGGAGGGAGCTCATCAGGTCCTGCTACCTTTCCTCGCTTCAGAGCTTGAATGCAAGACCGAACTTCTGTTTCCGTTGGAGCATCGCATGACACTGCCCACGGAGCTTCAGTCAGAGATGAAGCAGCCTGGTTAGCACTAGGCCAGCTTGAACTGTCGCTGGAGTATTCTGCCCAACGATCGAGTCCTTGATCCCTATTGTGAATAGCTCGTCTCCTCTTGTCGCAGACTGTTTCTCTAATTGGAGTTCACTGACCTCCCGTATTGCGTATCCGTCGGAACAGTCTTTGACTATTCTCTGATGCAGCTGCTACTTCCATTTTATTAGCTATTGTTGCCCACCAGTTCTCACGGTCCTTCTTGAGGCTCTTCATGAGCCGACATTTTAGCTGCCACCTAACTCTGTTTTGATCCTGGCAGGTCGTGACCTGCCGTTTTTGCTCCATCAGGG